TTTGTGATAATTGGTCAGGAATCACAAACCACTGGGTTCAGAGTCTGGGCATGCCCGACCCAACAATCAGTTAAACAAAAAAATAAAAATAAAAGCATAACTAGTGACAAAAATATTTAAGCCGAACCTTTAACGATGGCAACTAAAACTTTGTTTTTGGTAGTGAAATAACTTTAAAAATGTAAAGTTTTTAACTATTTGGTTTACTTTAATCACTTGAAAAACCAACCAAACGCTCTCACGCATTTGAAGAAATACGTGCAAAACCAAATAAAACATTTAACCGAAGAATCTGTGCCTATTTACTAAGAAAATAGAATCATATTACTGAGTACACATACCCTCTTTAGCATTCCTTTTTTTATTTTTAATCAAAACTCCCAAATAAAATGTTTTAGTTTTTGCAGTAATTAACAGATTTTCAAAGAATTCATACAGGAAAACATTCGCTCTGCCTAACAGAAGAATTAAATCGCAATTCTTGTACAAAGGTAGCATACTGTTTACTTCTGTTCTGCCAAAAAACAAAAACAAAAAAATTAAGTCATTATTCGGGCTAAACTCTGTGATAAACATGATGCTTTTCTTTTTCCTTTGCCCTTCGGTGGATCAGCGGTAAGATTGTGGGCAAACACCGCTAAAAACTGGGTTTTGATACTCGTGGTAGACACAACACAGATAGCCGATTATACTGCTTTGTGCTTTACAACAAACAAACATTTTTTTTCTATTTTAGTGTGGTAAAAAAGTCGAAATTAAGTTGAACGCTCATCAATACAACTTGGTCTCGACATTTCTAACCACATTTTTACCTATCCGCGTGTTGGTGTGTGAACACTATAGTTACATTTACTCTAGAACACGGAAGAAGCAGTTACTTATAGAACCCTCCAAATTTCGTAATTTCTGAAACGATTTAAGTATTGGATTCAATGAAATCCAACAGCTTGTTTGTCATTGGTTCGATATTGTTAAACAATGAAACAGTTATTTTGTTGAGTTCCTTGTGATTGTTTTATTATTCAATCAATCGTGATGTCCTCCCCAATTCTGACTATATGGTTCTCTATTGGTCGCTGCCTACACCATTTTTCCTAGTTCAAGCTTCTCATCTCCAATCTATTTTCTAATATCATCGAGCCAGATGAGTCTCTGGCTGCCTCTCGCTTTTCTTTCTTCGATTTTACCAACCAGAATCTCTGTCCACCTCACCTCTCATCGAAATCTCTGTCCACCTCACATCTCATCGAAATCTCTGTCCACCTCACCGCTCATCGAAATCTCTGCCCACCTCACCGCTCATCGAAATCTCTGCCCACCTCACCGCTCATCGAAATCTCTGTCCACCTCACCTCTCATCGAAATCTCTGCCCACCTCACCGCTCATCGAAATCTCTGTCCACCTCACCTCTCATCGAAATCTCTGTCCACCTCACCTCTCATCGAAATCTCTGCCCACCTCACCGCTCATCGAAATCTCTGCCCACCTCACCTCTCATCGAAATCTCTGCCCACCTCACCGCTCATCGAAATCTCTGCCCACCTTACCTCTTGTCTAATTACAAGCTCAATGAAGTACATTATCCATTTCCTACATGTTTTAATATAGAGCTTGACAACAAATCAGTTGTATACTTATATATAGCTCTTAACAGATTTTTTTTCGTTGATTTAGCATTGAATCTGTTATTATTTTGTAAGTCTTTGAGTTAGTACTTCATTCAACGAAATACTTTTTAAACTGCTCGAAAGCTTGTATTGCGTATTTAAGCAAATTGCAGTTACGCAATAATCTTAAAAATGTTCATCTGATTCTATATTTTTAGCTTTTTCAACACTGTTTCAATGAGTTCCATCGTTAAGTATCTCTCTCTACGTTATTTCATCAAAGTTTCTGATCTATGAATTGCGTAAATACATGTAAAATCTCGAAATAAATCAACCATAATCATCATAAATGATGAACAGCACGACTGTATAAATGACGAATTACACGTTTCATGGGCATTAAAAGTATTATCATTCAATCTTACTGATTTATCTAGTATTTACTGTTGAAATTTGCTAAAGATGAAATTAAATTAAATTGTTATGTTATATGTACTTACTGTAGAAATTTACCGATGGAATGTTCGAACCATCCGATGAACACTTTATTAGTTATATCAGTGACTGTAATGTTCATTATGACATTAAGATTTCCTGCCAAGAATCTGTTGCTAGTATACTGACCCGGTGGTATGGTCAGAAAATTATATGACCGTTCCGGATTTGCGAGAAAGTCAACTACAAGATTTCCTGCCAAGAATCTGTTGCTAGTATACTGACCCGGTGGTATGGTCAGAAAATTATATGACCGTTCCGGACTTGCGAGAAAGTCAACTACAAGATTTCCTGCCAAGAATCTGTTGCTAGTATACTGACCCGGTGGTATGGTCAGAAAATTATATGACCGTTCCGGACTTGCGAGAAAGTCAACTACAAGATTTCCTTTTTTTAGGAATCTAAACACTGCAAGGTTTCTTCTATGTTTCTGTAAATTAAAGTTACCGACATCTCCAGAGAAAGCCCTTTCTCCTGTCAACATCGTCTCCTATCGACCGATTTGTCTATGTCTTTTTAGATTACAAAGTTGCATCTTGGAAATATATATCCATTCATCATCTTTCACTACACAATTTAGTAAGAAGACTGTTCGATATGAACAGATATATCTAGAACAAAGAATTCCGAAGTTCAGGTGTTTCTAATTACCTTAATCCTAATAAATTTAGCTACGTTTCTGATACTTTTAGTGATAATTGTAAACGCGTCATAGCTAAACACCTAAATTCTCACTAAGTTGCAACACGTCAAATATTTTCTTTCTTCTGAACAAACAAAATATTGAATACTTCTGCAATCCTCGCAGCCTTAAGTCTCTAAATCTAAATAACGTCTTTGTAAAAAAATAACTAAAAACCAGGAACCCATCTATCGATACATTCTACTACTATAACTCCTGCAAACCTGTAGCTCTTCCTTTCGACGAACTTTCTGGTTTGAAAATAGCTTGCTTATAAAACTGGTGTTAATGTTATCCGATCTGAGAAATAAAATGTCTTATCTTTCAGAAGGAAGGAAGTGCCCAACGCATTCTCAGCAATTTTTCAAACAAGAGTTACCACACCAATTTTATCAGAATTAACCACGTGGCTCTCGATTGGGTATGCCATGTGATTTTCTTATTTAAAGTACACAAATTTTATCTACTATACATGCATGCTTTTTGCACACATTCTAAGCCACTAGTTAGACTTCTAGTTCCTTCTTATAACATTCACCCCCTATAGGTCTACAGTTAACAGTCTGTTTTCTTTGACTAAGGAAATTAACGCACTACCTTCCCAAATTAATTACTTTATGGCCAGCTTTGAAGTAACTCCATTTTTCACTAAGGTTCCCATTAAAATCATCTATCATCATCTGTCTCTTCAACTTCTTCAAAAATGGCAAAACATTATAAATGGTTCATTGAATTCTCTGTCACCAAAATTAATTTTAAATTCAACGGTTGCCAGCTGATCACCAAGATACATGATGCTGCTATGGGGTGACGCATTACTCTGCCACCGTGTATAGAAGCAGCGATAAACTGACACATGTACGGATGAATTTGAATGAAACCAGAACAGAAAATAAGTTGATAATACTTTTGTAATTATTCAACTTCAAATATCACGAATACATTTTAAGAACATCTAAATTGATTAAATAACCTACTTTGCTTCATAATTAATTTCGAATACATGCGCGCAGAAGTTTGAAGAATTTTGGATATATATATATATATATATATATATATTAGAGATGCACGGGTATCCGGCCAGATACTCGGCCCCGGCAGGGTATTGGGCTACACGGTAATACTCGGCTCCGACCGAGAGTCGAAGTTAGGCATCTAAGCCATAATCTTTGTTGCAACTAACGCGGTACTGAAAGTTACAGTCAATGATTGGTTAAGTTATAAAAAAAAACGTGTTCCGAGCAACAAAAACTGACCGTCCGCTGAAAGTCGGGGATTCAGAGAACAATAGGGGTGAATAACAGGCATGGTTTGAGAAGTGGATTTCTGGGGGAAGGAGGGGGTTTTGAGAACAATAGGGGTTAGGGTTTGAAAAGTTGGGGCTAAGCATTGAAAGTTGAAAGTAAAACTTGAATGTTCTGTTGGTCAATATTCGGTTAAATGTAATAAACGTCAATTTTGTGTTTGGTTCTAACTTTTATGTCTGTTGTTTTTTGGTGGGGGGGGGTGCAAGGGGAGAACCCGGTCCCGGCCGAAGCTTAGTGACCGGGTGCCCGGACACGGTATTCTGCCAGATTTTACTACCCGCGCATCCCTAATATATATATATATATATATTTCGACATATGCATAACATTATTCTGTGTCCAATGGCCAAAATCGTTCGGAGCCACGATACAAAGCACGCCTGGCATGGCCCAGTGGTTAGGGCACTCGACTCGTAATCTGCGGGTTGCAGGATCAGAATCAGGCGCTAAACATGCCCGTCTTTTCAGCCGTAGAGGCGTTATACATATAGTAGCCCAAAAGTTGGCGGTGATCGACAGTTCAAAATTAAGGAAGGCGGCAGACAGCCTTAGTAGTTTTGCCATAAAAAAACAACAATAAACGACACAGGGTAATCATATGTCACATGCGGTTTTATTACATAAAAAATAACCTTTTAAAATTGGAGGTACTGACTTTTGTAAAACAAAAAACGTTTTGAAGGACAATTACTTTTACTGGTACGTACCTTAATCTCCCGTTTTGGGAGTGATAATTTTTAAGGAGTTAAGGCAACATTATGTACACTGGAGTGTAATCATGTAAAATAAAAGTTCTTACTCCATGTTTGTTTGTTTTTCTAAACTCATGTCACCCGAATATAAAGTTTACTTAATCTTTAATTCTTAGACAACCTGGTATTAAATCTTGACCCAAACAGCTTTCATACCTCTATTACGTTGAACAAGGAAACCTTCGCTGTCCTTCACCCACGTTGCAGTAGCTTTATTCCTTCAAACTGCAGAAACAAAACATTTTCTTACTACAGCGTATTACATTGTTCTTGGGACTTATCTCTACACAAGTAAATTCTTACAATAAGCTTTAAAACAATATATGAGTAACCCAGACTTTTACTTTTGTCTTTGGAAACAATCACTCGTAATTTTCGTTATTCAAAATTAACCTTAATAATAATATCAAACGTATTATTATCTATGTACATACACACACACACGCGTACATACATACGTAGACACACACACGAGTCACCTGTACTGCCTTCATTACTTAGGTAAACAGAGCTTAACTTTTAAAAAGCAACTCATAAACTGCTACATAAATATTATACCCAAAATCAAATGATAGTTGTCTTTAAAGCTTCATTTCAAAATACACAATTATTTACGGAGAACAGCATTCCTATCACACTTTGTTCATGATCAATTACACACGTGCTATAGTAACATTTCCATTCGCAACTCACTAAGCTACCACATAAATTATATATCTCTATTCAACCGAGAATTGTCTATAAACCTTCATCTCAAATTACACGTTTCGAAAGACCGCATTCCGATCACACTTTGTTCCTGGTCAATTACACACACGCTATAGCAACAAGGTGACTCGTTTGGCTAAACCAAACGCCATACTGTACATGTTTCTTTCGTAACCGGCTAACGATTACCATTTCTCTGTACTTCTGCCGTCTACATTAATTCAGATTACTGGGCAGGCAACTTCTTCATCAGCGAGCCAGGCTCCATAAAACTTTAGTTACAGGAAACACATAACTGAAACTTCTATAAAAAGGAGTCTTATCTAAACAGATATTCCAACCTGAAATCACAACTACATTTATGCCACTTTTATATTACAATTATTTTAACAACAGGTAGGCAAACAACGATTTATAAACATAAGGGAAAGTTTTATTGATGGTGGAACATAATACATCTTTCGACAGATCATTGGTCCAATATTCTGTCGAAACATATTGTATGTTCCACCATCAATAAAACTTTTTCTTATACTTATAAATCGTTGTTTGCCTATCTATTATCATTTTAGCACAGTTACTCAAGTAATTGTTTTAATATTTTTGGAATTGGTTATACAGTTAACGGGAGGTCTGTACTTTACTTACTTTTCCATTTTGTTTTGATCTGTCTTTCTTAACCTATTTAAATGTGTAAGTAATTTCATTGCCATTTATAATCTTAAGTTATACCATTTGTACTTACTTTAGAAATGTTCTTGTACGAAGGAACAAAAAGATCCCTAAATGTCCAATAAACATGCTAGTCGTTATTTCCATCGTCATCATCAGATCAAGATTTCCTTCTTACGATCGCATCTATAACAAGTAGAATCACGTGTTTAAGATGGTGTCATCTGCTGTGATGAAGCTTTTCAAAATAGATTCTTCTTAAACCGTTCTATAGTATAAGAATGAAAAAAAAGGGGGATTCCATGGTCCTGGTCTTACAAGTTCGTGTGTATGTGTATAATAGTGTAAAATAAAAACAAAGCAGTCCAGGTGAAACGGAATCGGTGCACGTGCGCTCTTGTATCTCCACTTCCACTTTCGAAAGTAGTTGACAACTTCAGTTCAAATTACGAAACAGATTCTTTTAAAGTGAAAATCGACAGCAACGACTTCCTCGATATATACATATAATGTATACTTTTGTTAAAAAATTAATATCCATCCAGGAACAGAATTCTTGCATGCTTCGCTGAAATATGTTCCTAAAGATGAAATATATTTAATTTTTCTTAGGCTTTCGGGTCTCTTAACCTGAAAATGGGCCTTACGGTGTTATGAAAATATCTGTTTAGTCGGTGTTATCTGTAATGAGCTCTAGCAAAACATAGATTTTCAATCTAGAGTCACAATTATCCCTAATGGTTATAGCTGCCAATCTAGAGTTAGCTTCCATATTTCAGCAAAATTGAAATATAGAATTGTACATATTTTAAAGTTACCTCATGGTTACCTACAGATCATAATTAACAAGTATGTATATTATAATCAACTATATCAAAATAAGATACAGCTGACGGAGCCCGTAATATGGATGAAATTAAAGCTTCTCCATGACTTAACATTCGTATCGAAGTCGACCTAACAAGATATAACAGACGTAATGTGGTTGAAATTTGTTTTCACTCATGTGTTCTTAGAATTAACTTCAAGTACCTCTTCTGCAGAGATTATCATGTATTTTTCTCCCTACATATGTCCACACATGTTTCAACTATACAGAAATATGGACAAAAAACTAAACGTATAAACTTTCAACTTTATCTGATCATTAAGTTTACAAAAAGTTGCGACAAAGCTATAAAATGGTTTAAAATATTACAACTACAACACGGTTTTCCAACCCACTGGAAAAGAAACACGCAGAACTGTTTTACGTTTCAGAAAAAATACGTTTTTAGTTTTACTACCCCAAAAAAGTGGAATTATTTGACAATCGGAATAAACACAGGAATAAGTGGCTTTTCCTTATGGCTTTAGCACATTCTACGAGTTATTTCTTACAACTCTACATATTAATAACTGTCAGAACGTGTATGGTTAAATTTCCTTTCTTTATATGATATTCTAAAAGTGTAGAAACCCTAATTTTTCAACCTCAATGCCTAGTACCATACAAGGATTATCAGTGCCAGACACAAGCCCAGAGAAGAGTTATATCACGTGTATGTGCAATTATATAGTTATACATCAAATAAAGTTTCGAAATAATTGACAACTAAATTATCAGTAGCCCTTATTAGTAGACCAACGTTTCGCGGTAAGGATAAAACACGTTTTATCATGAAGTTGACATATTTAACCTGTATCTTCCAAGGATGAGAAGCAAGGTATGATAAGCATTACCAAATCAACAGACATCTTCGACTTTACGTAAAGATTTTTATATTTTTACTCTTTCTTGGAGTTTTCTCATAATGATCAATGGCAACTCATCCTTAAAATCAATTTTTGCAGAAGTTAAAAAATTAGAAGAGATACACCACCTACAGAAATAAATGCGTAATTTATTGCATTTGTTATTTCATATATAATACCGTACGTATAGGTGATCTTTTAGCACGTTTCGTTTCGATCTCCGTCCGTTTTCGAAACGAATATGTACATTCTGCATTAGATAGAGATAAAAACAGGCTATCATTTGTTTCTAACTTTGCAAACTAAAACAAGTCCACACTAAAACTGCACAATGTGGTTGTCGACAAGCGATCAAGAAGTTACTGTCCTAAATGGCATGTGTGTCAATCTGAAGTGAATTCAACTATTCAGAACAACATGTTAAATTTTACGAAGATTAAATCATTTAACATGCTTAACGAAGAGAACCAGCTTCATGATATTCGATGTCACACAACATTCTAAGTATTGTCGCATTTCAAGATACTATTTTTGGTTGTAATTTTTATCATTTTCTTACTCTCCACATTAAATCTTGCAATTCTTTTCTTGTTGTACCCAACTTGGTAGTGCCATAAAAATATATCACACAACTAGACGGCATTAAAAATGTTCCGTCATCAATCAACATCTTATAGCTTAAGGAGTTAAGTACAGAACGTGACGTTTAACTATTGACATTATTTAAAGAAGGGATGATCGGATCAACAAGTACAGAACGTGACGTTTAACTATTGACATTATTTAAAGAAGGGATGATCGGATCAACTGTCTAAAAACGTCCATTCTTCAATTTAAGCAAAACGCAAGTCTCTTATTCCCCACATTTGACCTTATTAGATCTATAGTCGTGGACATTAAACTTAAAAAAACTGTAATCGTTCTTGTCTAATATAATATCATTCCTTTCTTTACAAAATATTCACTTTAATATAAATAAATTCCTAATTTTTCAAATAATTTTCACACACACACACACATTATATATATATATATAAACACACACACCATATGGTTGCATTTCTTTTAGGTTTGATTTCGAGTTTTATACTTTTATGTCTCAAAGCTATTTAGATAATTGAAATATTTCATTTATACGTATTTTGCTCAACCTCCGACAGTGATAACAACCATTTTCGTTTCTCATAGTGATTCGACAAACCATTTGGTTGGGGCGCTCGACTCGCAATCAGCGGGTCGTGGGTTCGAATCCCCGTCACACCAAACATGCTCGCCCTGTCAGCAATGGGGGCGTTATAATTTGACGGTCAATTCCACTATTCATTGGTAAAAGAGTAGCCCAAAAGTTGGCGGTGGGTGGTGTTGACTAACTGTTTTCCCTCTAGTCTTTCATTGCTAAATTTGGGAAGCTAGCGCAGATAGCTCTCGTGTAGCATTGTGCGAAAATCGAAACAAAACCAAAACCATAAAGCTACAATAAGTACAGGTTTGATCAGGATTTCTTGCACAAAATGACCCCCAGTGGCACAGTCTGCGGATTTATACCGCTAGAAACCGGATTTCGATGCTCGTGGTGGGAATAGCTAGTCTCTAACCCTTAGTGTATAGTAGCCCAATATAAGCACAATATTGAAAACATTATAAATATATCACTCTCATAATTTGAACACACGTTTTATACATGATAGATATGTTTTATTCCAAGTCAACATTGCGCAACGAGCAAAACATATATCTGTTAATTTTGTTTCTTACAACATTTACTTTAAACTCACATATGTTCAGTTCATAATTCTTGATGGAAATATTATGTATAACGCTAAAACGTTGTCGAACTTTAGAAAACGAGTCCGATACTTTCAACTGTAAAAAAAAAAGGCAATATATTCCAGTATAAATGCATTTAAGCGTATGATTCACCACATTCTGGCAAGTATATAAATCTACCAAGCGTAGACACAAATATATTTTTTATTAGATAATGTATTTTTGTATTAATATAGATATTGTATTTTGTACACTAAATGGCATAGAAAAACATATCTACTGTTAAGTTTCTCAAACACAAGCTTAATCGACCGATTTTATAGGAGACTGCATTTTATTTTACTGACTGACGATATCACGTGCATTGTACAGTCAGGCAGGCGATAGCTGCCTATGTAGGGATGGTTCGTTCGGATTGTTCATCGAAATAGTATTTTAAATATCTCCTCAATAGGTCATCAAACCTTTACAATACTATACAGTGTTTCCTTTTATAACAATATCTAAGTAATGACTGAGTTAACAGTTCTGGGAATATCTGTAAACATCATAGCAAAAAGTTTAAATTTCTTGTATATAACCTGTAAGCATCATTAAAGACACTAAAAAATCGTATATTACTGGTCAACTAGCATCCTTACGTTACATAGATATACATAATATCTTCATTTGTTGTTAAGTACAAAGCTACACAATGGGCTATCTGTGCTCTGCCCACGCAGATATTGAAACTCGATTTTACCGTTATAAGCCCTTAGACTCACAGCTGAGCCACCACGGAATTATGCACATTTTGTTTCTAATGGAAGTAAGTGAAAAGACTGTTCGTCTGTGACAGCTCATGAACCATACAAACATTCAAAGTATCCTCACATCAGAAACATATATTTAAAATACCCTCACATCAGAAACATATTTAAAGTACCCTCACATCAGAAACATATATTTAAAATATCCTCACATCGGAAACATATATTTAAAGTACCCTCACATCGGAAACATATATTTAAAGTATCCTCACATCGGAAACATATATTTAAAGTATCCTCACATCGGAAACATATATTTAAAGTATCCTCACATCGGAAACATATATTTAAAGTATGTTTCTGATGTGAGGGTACTTTAAATATATGTTTCTGATGTGAGGGTACTTTAAATATATGTTTCTGATGTGAGGGTACTTTAAATATATGTTTCTGATGTGAGGGTACTTTAAATATATGTTTCTGATGTGAGTGTACTTTAAGTATATGTTTCTGATGTGAGGGTACTTTAAATATATGTTTCTGATGTGAGGGTATATCTAAAGTACACTCACATCAGAAACATATATTTAAAGTACACTCACATCAGAAACATATACTTAAAGTACACTCACATCAGAAACATATATTCATCACTTAGGTAACAACAGACAAGCTGTATTAGACAGCATCCTCAGAAACGAAACAAATTTTTAATCAGCTTTTACGCTGATGGTCATGCTAGACTTCTCTAGTAATATTTAAAAAATGGCATATGAATAAACACACATTTCCCGGAAGAGTTATCGAACACATTGCTTATAGAGAAATAAGTTTTAGTTTTATTTCCAGATTTTATTTCACGAACTATAATCAGTTACTCAGCAAGAGACAAGTTTTTCCCCTACACACTTATATTTATTTATTACTCAAGTACAG